TGATTGTATATAGGTAGAAGAATGGTGTATTCATTCACTTAGTATTAGTATACATTTATAGCTATGTTATCCCCTCCAGTGTATACATATTAAAAAATCAAACACTTTATGTATTCATTCACTTATAGTATGAATACACTGCATTGAAGATTTTTTTTTAAATCATGAACATCATGTATGCATTGCATTCATGTATACATATTTGTATATTCATTCTCTCAAAATTTGTATACATTCCAGTTTCTTTCTTCAGTAAATGAGGATTGCACATGAAATATAAATTGCGCAATAGCAAACACACAAGTCGAATCGGATAATGAGAAGAATTTACATGGCTATAAAATTTAGAATTATGGATGGAGAATCCACAAAATTAGAATCAGAATCCCCATTTTTATGAATAATCCTAGGATAACTTTCTTAAACATAACAATTGATACCCACAATTAATTACTATTAAGTAAATTTTTGCCTAAATTAGATATAACCTTCAATTTCAAAAACTAAATTCCCAAAAAAAAGTGAACGACAATACAAGAGGGGATCAAGCATAGTGTCACGGACTTAGAGTATTTGCTAAGACACCGTGCGGCACTTGACAACTTACTCACTATTCTTTCAAGATCTCGTAAGCTCAAGTAAGCCTTTAAGACTAAGATCGCTAAGAAAATGTAAAGGAAGACTTAGAAAATCAAAGAGAGCTTTTTGGAAGAAGGCTTTTGTATTGGCTTTGGAAGATTGCTTACACTTGGATGGTTGCTTTCTTGGTTGGATGCCTTGAAAATGAATGGCACCCTCTATTTATACTAACTCCTAGGGACTAAAGTGCAATTTAAATTTACTTTACAAGTCCCTAACTATTTACACTTTGGTCCTAGTTCTAGAACTTTCTACACACTCTAGGACCTTCCAGGACTTTCTTGAAGTTTCTACATTATTCTAGAGAATTCTCTAGTCTTCTTGAATAATCTAAAGGGTTCTAGAGTCTTCCGGAAACCTCTCCACAACTCTAGACCCTTCCGCCCCTATCTGGACGCAAAATTTCACTGTGATGTGGCGGGACGTGACAATAGGCTAACAATTAGAAAAATTGACGGGTAGACATCAACAAACCATCAAGAATTTAAAAAGCGAAAGAGAAAAAATACACTAATGGACGAATATTTTTATAGAATTCAATATGTAAAACTAATAAACAAGAAAGTAAATCATCTTTTATTCAAAGTAATGAAGAAGAAGAATTGAATAAATATTTACATAATCAATAAAAAAACATCATTCAAAAGAATCGTGTGTATGAGAAAGAAGAGAAAAAAACTACTTCCCAATAAAAAAGGACATCATGCTGCCACCTCCTAAAATTATGTAATTTAATTTTTAAAAAAACTTCCCAATACGTTGGCTACTATTTGCAAAATTTAATTTTTAAAAACCTTTTTTTGTCAAGAAAATAAAAGATGGCTATTTGTTGCCAAATAGTAAAATGAGATGTCATGTTGTGCCATTTTTTCATGTTCTAACCCCCACCCCCCTCAAGTAATTAACGTTGTAGCTCAGTTGATTGGTTATCTGAACTTCCACTTTATTGGTGAGGTTTGATTTCCCACTTTGTAATCCCCTCCTCACTCCCCTTTCCCTGACCCTCAGTTTTAATAAGAAAAAAAAGTTCCGTGCATCAGCTTCTCACCCATACATACACTCCATCCGTCCCAAAATATAGTAATATATATTTTGAAAGTTAATTTAAATAATTTTCGAACTAAATTGGATTAGATTACTATAACGTTTAAAATTAAAATTTACATATTCAAAAACTATATAAAACATATGGTAAATCATCATTTTTCCCTATTCTAAAAATATTTATTTTAAAATATTGGTAAAAAAATTAAGATAAATTGACCATTATGAAAAGAGAAAACGTAACAAGTATTGTGGAATCGAGAGAATAAATATAAAAAAAATAAAAATTGTACTTAATAGAAACTAGTCAACACGGTGTTGATCGGTGAAAGAATAAATAAAAATAAAATAAAATTTGACTATTAATACGTAAGAGGGAATACATTGAGTAGCTAACAACTTAAATGGTACAAATCATTTTGAGACCTCTACCATTTTCCTTATTCAAAACAAGGGCAGAAGCTAAATTGTACAGGTAGAGTCTTTATATACGCTAGTTTTAAAAAAATCATCATGTGCCTTATACAACTGAGGTTATAAGTAATTGTGAGGCTTTTTTTTATTCTCGATTTAGTGGACTCAATTCTTATCCATTTGAATTTAAAATCTTTGGGTCCATTAAATTGTGAGGTAAAAAGAAAACTCACATGACTAGTGTCAGTTGTACAAGGCACAAAATAATTTTTTTGGCTAGTTTCCTGTCATTTGCATCTCATGTTTAAGGAATTTAACTTTTAAGATTCATTTTTCCTGATTTCCCTTCTTTTTGGAGAACAATGCACCAATTAAAGGGATTAAGGGCTTCCTCTTCAATTTCTTCTTGAGGTGTGAGGGGCTTTTCTCACAAGTTTCTTTCTTAACACATTCCTCCAGCTTGTTGACAGCAATGATCTTAGTAAGCAATGGAGGACTAGCAAACTTGACAGACCTCTTCTTTTCGAATTCGATCTCCTCTCTGGTTTGTGTTTTAACTTCAACTGGTTGCTCAATGAATTTTAGCTCTTCATGAATCTCATCATCATCAAAATCCGCTAATGGTACTTTCTTCTCGGGTACTACGTCTCTTGTATTCTTCAACTGTTGTATCTCTCTTCTAGTCTTTTCCAGCTCTTCTCTAAGAGATTGAAGGCAATGTGCCATAAAATCTCCTTCTTCTTTGGCTTTCTGCAGGCTTTGTTTTGTCTCTTCAAGCTCAACTCGCGCTGCTCCAAACTTAAATTGGTTTTGTCCACCGGTAGTACTTGCCTTGCTCTGCACATGACGTTGAGTATCCTGATAAATTGCATAGTATATTTTACCAAAGATAGAGATACACATATAACCTATTAGTTTAAGTAATATGCATTGTCAATATAAGAAATTTCTACGCCATCAAGTCACCTTCACTTGTTATTTTTAACATTACAAATCAGATAGATATCTTTTGAGTGACCTAATAGTATATATATAAAATAAAATAAAAACTCATATTTATAAATAGCTGATTGTGAAAATATTAAGTTTTGTTGTCGATGCATAGACTCAAACTCTAACAAAAAAAATACTAAGTCCATATATATAACACGAAATTAAAGAAGGAAAAAGAAAAAACCTGTTGAAGTTGCTTAGCATGAATTTCTCCAGCCAAAACCTTTTCCCCAAACAACATAACTGCTTCCTTCACGGACCGAAAAGGCTGCCGCATATCAATCTCCACACGTCCCCGCACCACCACGCCTTCTTCTCTTTCCATTTCCCAATTATCACAATGTAACAATAATGATCAAAAGGATACTAAAATTAAAACTCCAACTCAACTGCATTAATGAAGTTGATGTGTTGTCGCCAATTTGGACTTATATATATATATATATATATGAATGAGAACCACCAAGGAAGAGAGAGATTATATATATATTGTTTGCTAAGGATAATTGTAGGATTACCTAATAAAATCATTTAGGAAAGAGCTTATTGGAGCTAGGTGGGAGGGAATTCATTTCTTCGCGTTTACTTCACTAGAAGATATGTATGAAAATCATTGTTTGTTATTTGATGCTGATATTTACTCTTTATTTCGTCTGCTTGGTAGTTCAACCATCCCATTTCAAATACATATACATTATCTTACAGCAATGACATAAATTTTCCAAAACAAAAGGATAGTATTAAATAAAGAAAAAGATCAATTTGGTACTATAGCAAAGAACAAAAGAAATTTTGCAAGTCTTTATTTTTTATCTTTTTAATTTCTGGTGCGGGGAATAACTTATGAATATTATAATATGAAAACATAAATGTATGCCTCGTCAAAAAATTAAAAACCGGCATAAAATATAGAAAATGCAAATGACCCGCCACAGTACTCACCAGAAGTGAACCTTTAAAGGGACCCAATTTCGTTGTTTTGAAATGGACCTCCCTCCTGACCCATTTGAGAGGAGCCCACTAAAATACATGTATTTTTCGATGTATAACTACGTACTAGTAGATATATCACTTTGACAGAAGAAGGCACAATCGATTGGTCTGTTCCTTTTTAATTATCATGTTATGTTTTTCGAGAGTTAATTTAACTAATTTTCAAAGTTAAATTAAATTAGAGTTAATATCTTAGATGGTCACTCAACTATGTACTCTTCTCTCAGAAAGTCACTCAATTTTCAATTTTAACTCAAAAGTCACTCAACTATGCACTTCTCTCTCAGAAAGTCACTTAACTTTGAATTTTAACTCAAAAGTCACTCAATTATCCACTCTTCTCTCAGAAAGTCAATCAATCTATTTAATTGTTTTTTTAATTAAAATTTGTTGATATTAATTGTTTATTTAACAAACCAAAAATTTTAAAAATAAAAAATACCATTTAAACCATTTAATATCCGTTCCACTTAACCTGACCAACTAAAAATATAATATTAACCCATTTTATCTCCTTCTCCTCCTCCCGTGCATTTTTTTTCCTGGTTCTCCATTTAAACCATTTTATGACTATTTGTTACTTAAGAGATAACAAGTAGTCACCACATTGCCTTCATGTCTGACAGACAAAAAGTGAGACATCCAAATTCTTTCATTTTTCTAGTTTACTTTATTTTTTTTCCATTATGTATTTAACAATTTAAAATCAATGTTACAGGGATTGATTGGAGTTGTTAAGGATTTGTTTGCAAAAGCAGAACATAGAAATTGTGTTGAGTTAAAAAAAAAACTAATGGAGAACCAGGAAAAAAACGCAATTTTTTATTGTGTTGAGTTAAAAAAAACATCAATGGAGGACCAGGAAAAAAAATGCACGGGAGGAGGAGAAAGAGTCATAAAATGGATCAATATTATATTTTTAGCGGGTCGAGTCAAGTGGAGCGGGTCATTAAATTGTTTAAATGATATTTTTTAATTTTTAAAATTTTGGTTTGTTATATAAATAATTAATATCAACAAATTTTAATAAAAAAAGCGATTAAATAGATTGAGTGACTTTCTGAGAGAAGAGTGGATAGTTGAGTGACTTTTGAGTTAAAATTCAAAGTTAAGTGACTTTCTGAGAGAGAAGTGCATAATTGAGTGACTTTTGAGTTAAAAGTTAAAGTTGAGTGACTTTCTGAAAAAAAAGTGCATAGTTGAGTGACCATCTGAGATATTAAACTATTAGATTACATTGATTAGTGAGGCGTCAGTACGGAGTTGTGTCAGCTATAGATATAGACTAGGCTAAGGCTTAGGTAAGGCTTGACTTCTATTTTCTTCACTTACACCTTACACTTCAGCTAAGTCTAACGAGGCTCAGGTGCGGAGCCTTCCACTGTGGACCGAGACTACGCAAAGGTAAAACACTATGGAAACTTCGCTGACTTTATCATCAACCTTAATTTCGCTACGCTCAATAAGAACCCGGATATTTTAAAATTAAATTTTAGATATTCAAAAACACGATAGAAAGTACTATAAATTGCGACTTTCTTTATATCAATATGATGAAAAAATATATATCTTAAGAATGTTAATCAAAATTCATATCATTTGACTCTAAAAAGATCACAGCTAGAAAGAAATGGAGAGGGTACTAAATTCCGATACAAGTGTTCTCCTGATCATGTGATGTGAATTGTAATTATTATTATGGTCACTAGACTAGAAGTTTCATCCTGCATGTCCTCATTGTTATCTTGTTATACTCTAATGTATGTAAGGACAAAATCATAATTGAATCATTCAAATTAGGGTGTGTTTGTACGGAGGAAAATATTTTTTGAAAAATGTTTTTAATTTTTTAACGTTTGGTTGGCTTAAATGTTTGGAAAATATTTTCCAAATCAACTCATTTTTCTCAAATTTAAGGAAAATGATTTTCCTTCCATAATCAAGAAAAATATTTTCCAAAACTCTACATCATCCTCTCTTTTTTTCTACTCTACCCATATCCCGTACCCAACATTTTAAATTTTCTTATTTTTAAAATTTCAAACATAATTTTATCTCTACCACCAAACAACCCCCCCCCCCCCCATCAAACAAAAAAAAGTTTAAAAATTACTTTTGAAAAGTATTTCAAATTTTTCCCTATCACCCCTACTCCCTACCCCCCTCACCAAAAAAAAATACTTTTGAAAAATATTTCAAATTTAATTTTTATTTACTTTTTACGCCACCCCCTCCCCAAA